TAGATTTATAAAGGGTAGGATAATGGAGCGAAAGGAACTTATAAAAAAAAAAAAATTGGAGTGAAATGGAGTGAAAGGAACTAGTTATCTCTATCTAAATTTTATTTTTATTATTATTATATATATAAAATAAAATTTATCTAATAACAATAGACTATTGCCGTTAATACTTAATAGTTAGCCCATCTCTAAAATATATTTTTAATAATTAGTCCATTTTATTATTCTCAATAATATTTGTAACTTTCATATTTTGTTTTTACCCCATCATAAAAAATTTTGGATCCGCCATTATGGAGTGAAGATATTTAGGAGGTGGGCTTAATGCATTGACAATTTAAGTTTGAACTTAATAATTATGCTAGCACTTAGAGAAATTAATTAATGAACTTTCTTACATTATGAAATTAAAATGAAAGTTAAATAAAAAGAAAATATTCAATATCATTAAAGTTTAAAAATTATTTTATATATTTTTAAAAACAATTAAGTTGATCTAATGAAAGATAATATATTCTTAATTCTTATTCCTTAGCATGTGTCTTTGAAATATTGGTTAAAGAAACCCTTTATTGTCTAACAAAAAAAAACCCTTTACTTATTCATTTAAATGTACCATGCTGATGTGGGAAGTTACATACTTACATCCTTATGATACACAATTAAGGGAAAGGTTATACTTATAATCTATTTTTATTTACAACCATATCTTAATCGTTAATTTTCGTCAATCAAAAGTTATTATTTTCGCAAATCAAACTCATTAATTAATATTTAATTTGCAATGAATGATAACTGTTGATTGACGAAAATCAACGGTTAAGATATGATTGTAAAATATTGTAAAAAAAAATAGTTTGTAAGTATAACATTCCCCCACAATTAATTACTAAATCATTTCTAATTTCCATGAGTTGAGTACGAGACTTCAATTACATTATTATAATCTTTTATGGAAATGAATCAGCAATTAAACAATATATTAAGAATATTTTATATGCGTTTAATGTTTCTCTGGAGATAACTTATCTCTACTGACTTTAAAATGATATCATTTTGATGTTTAAAGAAATGTATTTTTATAATTCTAAGTTATTATGGAATTATTTTAATTTTTATTATTATAATTTTTTCACTTAACCTCGTAACGATATCATTTTGAGATAATTGGAGATAATTTTCTCTTCACTTGAGAAACATTAAACCCATCTTATATTAAGAATTTATTTAAGTTTAATCATATAGAATTAAAATATATTGATTAAATTGTTAAAAGCTTTACAGTAAAGAAGAGTTCCTTGGAATTATACATACATAAATAAAATATGAAAAAAATATTTATGGTTTTGTGGTGCTAGCTGTTCGTGATGTCAAGGAAGGTGAACATCAAAGACACGAGACATAAAAGTGAGTGGTTTTTATTGTGAAGAGAAGAAAGAGAAAAAAAAAAGTAATAGAATCCACTTATTTTTATGCTGGTGTAACAGATAAATATTTGGAGCAAAAGGAAAAATGTTAAAACTATAAAACATATCTGTATACGGAGATAGTTGGAGAGTATTTTTTAAGATTATGAAAGGGAAAAATCCCTAGGAGATACTTAACTGTTCTAAACTTGAATGGATTAAGAGACTGAAAAATTATTTTATCATAAAATGCGCGCCATTTATTCTAGTAATGTCAATCATTTAGCATCACTCAAATTTCAACTTTGAATAACCTCATAATTTGTAATTATATATAAGAGAATCAACAAATGTTAAATTAAAGTAAACTCAAATGCATTTACCAAGAAAAAAAAAGTAAACTCAAATGCAAAAATAAGGATAAAAAACAATAATTAGCATATATATAATGATTTTTAGGTCACAAATTTATCCCTTTTTTTCGTGATAATATAGTTTTGTCATTTGTGTTGATTACAAAGTAGTCGCCGCAAACACAAAAACCAAACTACTGTGATTCTCTTTTTCCCTTCTAAAAATAAAAACGAAATAAGAGACGTACAATTTGTCCACGACCGTTTTACCAAAAATGGATTCTGGACCGGTATTTGTTTTTTTATAGGGCTTTATTAATATCATGTGACATAAGAGAAGCTCTCTTATGTCATAAAGATAGTTACGAGTGAGACCCACTCCTTAAAAAAAAAAAAAACAACAACACGGAAGTCGATATATGTGTAGGAGAGAAAAATACTCTCCTACAACATAAAATAATATTTTTCCTTTTTTTTAAGCATGGTTTCTTTACACAATGGTTGTGTATCCCTTTATGCTTATGTTGATACCCCCAAGAACATTGCGTCCCAAATCCAATAACGCTACATGGGTTTCTTTTAGTAATGTATAAGTTTGCTTAAGAATTTAAGAATATATTCAAAGTGTTTGGTTACCTAAGCACTGCTCTAGCCTAGTGCTTGATCCAAAGACATGGAGGATTCATAATAATTAAAATAACCAATAATATTCTATGCGACACTATGAACCATTGCTAGTACATGCTCCACTGTGTGTCGTCATGAACATACAAGCCCAACATCAATGCAAGCTTTACTCATCAAATTTAAAAATCATGGTTAATTACGTGTGGATGTTGTCTTCTTTTCAATATGCTGTGTCGTGTGGATTCCATCTCAATAGGCTGACATCACACAAATTCTGAAAGATGTTGGTGGGTTACTTGTATATTGTATATGATGGTCTAATTGGCTTTCTATTATGCAAATAATAATATGAATGGCTCTAAGATGTGGGGCATCAAATCAAATTTCGGTTTCTTTATCATGGTTTTCTTATTACACCCTGATCCCTAAACTCTTGGGTCCCCCACCATGTCCTTGATTATTTTACAAATCTCAATATGTCATTCATGTAACAATTATATTTTATTCAACAAAGTAGGCCATAAAAGGCCACAATAGGAAGTTGTTCATACTCATAGCCTTCTAATTCTGCGCATAGATGCCTTAAGTAATAGAATTGGTATTTGTTATTTTATTTTTTTCTTTGTATGCTTGCCTTCTACGTCTTCTGGCCGTTCGAATTATGGATGTACCAATATGCTTACATTACACAAAGGGTAGTTGGCCTGATTGAAAGTCAGAGTAGTAAGAAGTAACAATTAGTTGAGGGCTGCTAACGTTCAAGAAGAAAGCCAGCCATTCAGGTCAACCAAGAAAAATAAATTATTAAATTGAATGAATAGATAAAATGAGCAATCAATGAATTTCTTCTTAAACCTACTTTTCTCAAAGGATTTAATTAGGGGTGTCAATATAGATTATGACACATGGGTCGACCCGCGACACGACACGACACGAAAATTCGTGTTCGGGTTGACCCGTAAAAAAATTCATGTCGTGTTCGTGTTGGAAAAAATAACACGTAAAAAATTCGTATCGTGTTCGTGTTGATGTATTTGTGTTCGTGTTGACCCGCATTTTTATTTAATTATTTATTTTTATTATTTTTTTAAAAAATAATAATTTTGAACCATTTTTTTAAATTTTTTTTGTAAATTACCATTTGGACCCCTATTTTGCGTGTTATTCGTGTCGTGTCGTGTCAATCCGCAAAAAATTTGTGTCGTGTCAGTGTTGAAAATTTTGACACGAATAAAAATCCGTGTCGTGTTAGTGTTGATGTATTTATGTGGTGTCAACCCGTTTTGACACCCCTAAGTTTAACGATTTTTTTTGTGTGACCCCAAAACAAATTTGTTTTTGAGGTTGAAACTTTTTTTTATAATTCTAATCTATTCCGAAATTATATTAGTCTTTATAATTTTTTTTTTCTCTCAACCCTAATCTCAAATCAAAGCTTTTGTATTGGTTGTCTATTTTTCTATATTGCCATTCACAACAATTTATTTAATGGCCTAAATTGCGAACTTTTTAATTTGAAAACTCAAATATTATTTTGTTGTTGGATTTAGTCTTAATACGTATTTTGATTAATTTATTTATTTTTTGTATAATCAAAGCACGTGATCTGTGTTAAATTTAAACAAAAAATGTAAAAAGTTAACACTTACTTGCCTATTCTACAAATGGGAGTAAAATTGCATTACAATTAATTATAAGCATCATGGGTATGTTATATGCCTGCAGAAATATTAGTGTAAACAAATTCTGTCTAGAAGTGTTGGATAGGCTACATTAATTACTGACAAATATATTCGTATTTTATATTAAATAATCACATAAAGGTTATGTTATATGATAATGTGCTTACTGTTCATCGGTCTAGTTTTGAAAAAATTTACAAAAAATGTATTTCTCTATCAAGTGATGCCTATGATATTTTAGTATCCCAATATCGTATTTTCATTGGCTTTATTTGGCATATTCACGATCTAATTCTATCACTCTACATATACGTGAGTGAGATAATATATTTAGTATATTAATGTGCATTTTATGATATAGCACAATCGCTTATCTACTGAGAGATCAATCATGTCATTTCTACATCTTAAGCAATAAAAAATATATAAACTAGACCATCAAAGTAACATCATTATGGTATACTTAATAAGGGAAAGCGATATTACGGTCATTGGATAATCAATGCAGTGAAAAACAAAGTTTTAAGGACATTGGAAATATCACATGCAACAAGGCAGAGGAAGAAGCCTCGTGTCCTTTTGCGCAAACATAGCAATAAATACGAATTGATTTTATGGGGTCTTAAGCAATTCAAGGACACAGCTTCGGTTCTTAGAGGGGACAGGTTGATAATCCCGCAATATCCGTTGTCCGGGTCTTTTGGGTGAAGGGTACTAGAGTTTGGTGGAAGTTAGGCAAAAATAACAGGTAGACTTTTACGACACCTTTGTGACAAATCACATTGACACAACCACCTCTTTTGTGAATCATTAAACCCCTCAAAACCCATCATTCATTTTTAGATATTAGTCCCTTTCTTCTCTTCTTTACACAACCACGCCATAAATACTCACACAAGAGGAGTTGTGATAAAGAATTAAAAAAAGTTTTTGAGACTTTAGAGATGAATTCAAGGGGACCCCACTTGGTATTTCATAGTCATCAAAAGTTATTTAACTAGTTGTGCTAAGCTTTTGTTGTTTTCATTTTGATCAGTGTATGCACTTGTTGTCCAACTCAAAACCCAAGTGGCTTGTATTTCCTTAAATCTCCTAGATTTCAGCTTGTTATTCCCACAATCATGTGATTAAACAAAATGGCTCTATTGGTTTTGAAATTTTGATCCACCATGTTTCTTTTTGGTTACATCGTCATTGTTATCTAAATAGCATAACTGGTGCCTCCCACTGCCCGTACATATTGCTTCTCTCTTTTGTGGGGATTCACTGTATTGTTTGTAGATGACAACACATTTTTAAGGAGCATGCTTGATGTTTGTTTTGTGTTCAATGTGTAAAGTGCTTTAACTAACCAGCTGTGAAAGCTTGTCGGTTGTATAGTCTACACATGTCCTTCTCCGAAAGCATTGTATCAAGGCACTGAGGTAGACAAAATCATCGGTTTGGCCAAACCACTACTCTCATCTTCCATTGGTGGATCTTGTTTCTCTCTAATAGAAAACCATTTGCTTTTGAGTTTCATCTTTGCTGCTCCTTCTGTCAATCTCAAATAGACACTTTTGACAAACCTCCAATTAAAATGCTTTACTTCCTTATATCTTTTGTCTCCTTTGTCATTCTTTCAAAGTCCTTTACCAGTAGGCCACTCTCAGCAGGGGAGAGTGGGACAAAACTAGTGTCGACCGGGTTTTGGGGGAATCTATTAACTTTGCTAGTTTCTAGGCTCAGGAAAGGAAACACTGCTTTTAGTTTTTCTCAGTTTTCTCTTGGCATGCCATTGAAAAAGAAGAGTTTAGTATCTAAAGTTGAGAATGGAGAAGAAGAAGGCAAGGTTTCTCTCTTGGATTTGCCTGATTTGCCATTGGAGTGTATCCTTGAGCACCTTTCACCAGCTGAATTATGTGGTGTGGCAACAGTGTGCACATCTCTCAGGGATAGATGTCGAAGTGATTATTTATGGGAGAAACACATGAAGAGGAAATGGGGTAAAGTGATTGGTGATGCTGCTGATAGACAATGGGAATGGCATGTAGCTTCAAGAAACAGAGAGAAGATCTTCAATCAGCAAAATCAGAAAGGAATATTTGCTTTCCTTCATGGTTTTCGACCCTTCAGATGGATTATATCAATATCAGAAAACGACAGGCAATCAAGAAGCTTATTACCAGAAGATTCAATCATGGCTCGATATCTTTCTCTTGAGAGTGGGAAATTGTGGTTCCCAGCTCAAGTCTATAACCGTGAGGTAATTAGTTGCTTGTAATCTGATTTATAACTTTTTAGTAGGAATGCTTCTCTCAATCTCAATGATTTAAAATTACCAATATTCTGTACAGAAATTCTCCTTTTGGTGATTTTATGCAATTGTTTCACTTTTTCCTTTTTCAGAATGGTCATGCTGGGTTCATGCTCTCATGTTATGATGCCCAACTTTGCTATGACTCTCGAACTGACACATTTCAAGCAAGGTATGTGGAAAGGTTGACTCCTTCAAAGTTGAGCACCTGAGCATAGATTCCAATCCACTTGTTTCTCTACCTGCCCTACTGTCCCTGTGGTTAGAATTTGAAGATATACCAAAATCTTAGTAGCTTAACCTTCTATAGGATTGCTTCTTTTCACAAAATTTTAAAGGTTGATAAGTTCATCCTTTTCTTAAAATTAAGAAGTTCAAGCTTTCTGGCAGGTACTCACCTCATGGGAGATTGACAACTGAGGAAAACATAAAATGGGACCGGCTGAGAGTGCCACCAATTGACTCTTCTCCACATGTTCTTCATATATCTGACTGTTTGGACGACTTAAGACCTGGAGATCATATTGAGATCCAGTGGAGAAGAAACAGAGAGTTCCCTTATGGTATGTCTTATCCTTTTGCTGCACTGTAAAAATCCTGTTTACGTCAGAATATTAATTGTTATCAATATTCCATTATCTTCGTGCAATAATTTTTAAAGTGTTTTATTGTAGGTTGGTGGTATGGTGTCATTGGTCATTTGGAACCATGTCAAGGGCATGGAAACCATTGCCATTGTCACAATAATGGTAAGAAAATTCACTTTGACATTTTAATTCTGCTGTTTTTCTCCCTCCTTTAAATTGAGTTTTCATTGTTTTGTTTCTTGTAGTATACAAAATTAAACAATGCTTTTTATACTTTTCTGAAGTTCAAATCATGGGTACAGTAGATTTTGGTCTTTCATTATTTGAAAAACAGGAAGGAGAAAATATAAGCTATTATAGCCTTGTGCCAAGAACAGCTGGTCTTATGTAATTAGAGATATAGGCTCATAAATCATGGGTTACCACATCTGGTTATGCCAATGGCTAAACAAAGTTTTAGTAGGTGATTAACTGACAAAAAAGTGTTTCTTACAGAAACGGTGATTTTGGAGTTCACCCAGTACAGTGCTGATTCCAGATGGAGACAAGCCATGATAAGCAGGAAGCATCATAGAGAACAAGGAAATGAAATAGATGGCTTTTATGGGGGAATCAGGAAGCTGCATAGCAAGGAGGAGATTGCTAGGTGGAAGAACCTCTGGCCAACCAAAACTGTGGAATAGCATGATTGTTAGTTTGGAACTTTGTAAATTAAGCAGTCCCCCTTCCTAAAATTGTGAAGGTGTGGAGGATTAGTTTGTCAAAGAATGGTGTCGTTCCTGACAAAAGGTATAAACTTTGAAAGACTACATTGGATGAATTTTCAGAGACTGTGTGTAACATTTGTACAACAACATAAAAATAGTGTATAGTTACAGTTTTGTTACTAGCTTTGCTCGTTTTTTTGTCTTTTACAACATTTCTCCAAGACAAGCATGTCTATCATAATTAATGGAAGAACATCAGGTTCCTTAAATGTGGTTAGTTTTCGAGCTGGCAAAATTTTATAGCAGCTTGGCCTCTTAACTTGGAGGAAAAGACAACACTAGGAGGTGAGGGAAAATGGGTTGGGGGCTGCAAATTGGTCCTTCATGCTTGTATACAAAATCGTCATCTCCTAGTAATATAATGTGAACTACATATTTTTGTTTTGTGAGAGCTAAACTAACAATACTTGACCTGAAAACACTATGAAAAATGGAAGTGCAAACTTAAGTCATGCTGGCCATAAGAAGGCTGTGTAGCCTGTGTTAACCATGAACCCTAAGCAAAATATGAACTGTAACAAATAATGAGCCACCAAATTTACCTCTTCCATTACATAGTCATCAACCTTGTCTTCAAACTACTTGTCAAGCATGGTATCTCCTTCAATGCCTGCACTTGATTCAAATGAACAAGGGACACAGCATACAGGAGTTTACTTCTTACATATATAAATTAATAAAATAAAATTCCATGATACATTAGCACAGCAATGATTTGATTCAAAGTTTTAAACCATGTAGCTAGATTTTGTGAGATCATAGAAGTTGGAACACTACTCAAAATCCTCTTGCAAACCCTTCAACTTTTAAGGACATGCTTGATGGAAGCAAAGTTAACAGAATTATTGACTTTAAGTTGCATTCTCTTGCATGAAACATGAAATTCATCCCATAAAAATACAATTAGATATCGTTTTTTGCTTTTTACTTTCGCGTTTCGTAGAGGAAAAAAAAAAATATCAGGAAAATACAATTATTAGAAATATGGTGGAAAAGTAAATTTGGTAGGAGAGTTAAAAAAAAAATTGTTTGGTAGGCCAAAATATTACTGAGAAAATTAAGTTGAATTTTTTGAGTCTATGTTTGGTTCGAAGGTAAAATATTGATAAAAAAAATAGGATAAAATTACCAAACTAACCCTTAACTAAATACAAATAATACTCTCTCTTCGGCTTTCTTTTGGCACGTTTTTTGAGAATGGATATTTGTGTCCATTGCTTTTTTCCTACTTTTTGGTTTGATGGGATTGAAATGGCAAAAGTTTTCAATTTTACACACAAACTGAGATTGCTATGCAAATCCGAATGATAGGCAAATTTTTTAAAACCTCCTACCAAACATGATCAACTAAAAAACTCATCTTAACTTTCCAAGTCATCCTAAAAGAAACCTCCTACCAAATACCCCCTAACTTAAATTTGTCATTGAAATCCATTGTTTGGATGTGGGAAAGCAATAGGGAATGGAGGTGAGGGGAAGTAAGGGAGAAAATAATCTCTATCTTAAGTGGCCGTTTGGTACACGGATTTTTCCCGAATTCCCAGGAAACTGAAATTTTTAAAATTTTAAATTTTTAGATATTATCGAAAACTAAATGTAAAAATCATATTTTTGAAAATCGAGATTCCCGGAGAAATAAAAATTTCTCCTGTAATGTTGTAATATGATACAAAACAGTAACCTAATACTCATATTTGTACTAACAAGTACAAATGAGCGGAGCAGGAAAAAGCGTGATAAAGTACAAATGACACTGCTAATATAATAAGGCTCCTAGCCTCCAAACACCACAAAAATCCTAATATTTCATCACACCCTTAATAAAATTAAAGTAATCAGTACAATTCCAGAAAGAAGTATAATCATAATAGTTGTTCAGAATCCAGAAAAATTAATAAAATAATCCATAAATTATCGCCATCAATCATCATCATCATGGGCAGCAGAGAAAAAGAAAATATGAGGAATAAAAGAGTCATTTACTACCTATCAATGTACACAGGTGCCCCCTTGCTTGAAATGGGAACCACCACCAGAGCAGATCCATGATTCACCAAGCTGCGTATGGTTCACATTAATTTGCCAAACATAATCCCTGCTGGCAGGCCATCTGAAGGGCATTTTTTAATCCTGTGGTGATGGAATCAAGCATAATAATGGCATTTTAAAGTGTCTACCCAGTTCTTCTTTTCTAGAATGAACGACATTTGGGATCAGCAATGTCATGTAGGAACATCGTGCAGGAAACGCAACCATTAATAAGTCAGACCAACTTCATAAGAAAATCTCGAAAGCCCGGTTAGAAATAACATTTTTCTATCATTCACAAACCCAGACAAGGTAGTTCCACATCGTGTGTGCAGAGAAAAACAAATGTATTTTTATATCTAAGAACTGACAGTATGGGCACGACCTTACTTGAACAGGATCTGTTCTATAGGCTCGTACCTCTGTATCCTTGAGTTCTAAGGAGACAGGAACCTAAGTCTGGTGGATGATTCAGGACCGTGTGATCTGAGCGTGATTAATGGCTCTGTGATTCCCCTCTCTGAGAGGAGTCATATTGAGTCGTAGAGGATCGTTTCCCAGCTAGGATAATCTGGTTGGGATGGATCACTCGGTTGTCTGACAGACTAAATATTTTTTTTTTTGTCATTCTACGATTTATTAAAAAAATTCAAAAATAAATAAATAACCTTTTCTCATTCTTCAATATCATAAAAAACAGACCCATCCAAAAAAAATAAGAAGTTAATTTTTTGGGAAAGGAATGGCATTGATTAATGATTACCTTACCACGTAGTATGTGCTTAATGCTGAACATGTTTTTTTTTTTTGTAGAAATGTAAGAAGTGGAAACAGTATGGGAGTGTCCCTTACCTCTCCTAAAGAGAACTTGCTGAATCTCCTCCTTCTTGAAAGCAAGCACATCACATCCATACTCCATACTCGTTGGTTCAAGAGAAGAGAGTGCTTGTGCTTGAGTTCAAGTGTTGAACACAAAAAGGCTATTGTTCATCTTGACCAATTGAGGTGGGGGAGTTGCCACGTTCAAAGGGTAACACCGGAATTTAACATTGTTAATAGGCCACGTGGCATATTTTGGACTTTCAACTTTCCCCACGTGGCTAAATAGCAGTGTTTTAAAATTTCACTCCACTTTTCGGGTTGACCCGGGTCAACCCTGACCCCTCCCCTTCTGAGGGTTGGGGTCACAAGTTGGACACTATATGCACATCGACCCCTCCGACCTCCAAAACCCGATCGGGTTTCAGTGACTCCCGGGTCAGAGGGGTCAAAGGGGGTCACTGCATGTTTTTTTTTTATAAAGAAAATTTCACGAAACAACGTCGTTTTATTAAAAAATTAAAATTAAAATGCTTGCAAACCTAAATCTAATCGTTCTCTTCTCTCCAAACGACCTAGACTTGTGGTATCTTGATAATTTGGTATCATTAGAATATGAGTTTTGTACTTTGGTATCTTGATACTTTAATTAGGTTGTATAATATTGACTTGTGGTTATAATTGGTGAATTATGTTAAGAATATTTTGAATCTTTGATGATTGGTGATTTGCTTTTTAATATTTTCATATAGGATATATATATTTATATTTTTTAATATATAAAACAGGGTCAGCGTAGTGACCTCGTAACCCCCCGGTTGAACCCACGATCCCGTGACCCCTGACCTCGGCCGAGTCGATGGCCGGGCCGAGTTTTTAAACACTGCTAAATAGGACTTGCAGCTTAATTTGGATGGTTTTTTTTATCACCAAAAATTGTTTTTTTAAAAAAATAAATCACAAATAATTAAAATTCTATTTTTAAAAAATTAAAATTTTTGAATTATAAAAATAGAAAAATAAAAAGTCAAATTATTTTCTTAAAATTTAAATTTATCTTAACACCAACCTCCTCGCTACGATTACTATTCAAATATGGCATTTGGAGCAACAAGAAACTCAAACATGTTACATGCACATGCATGCTAATTTTTAGTTTTTCATATATTAGAAGTATTATTCTTCATTTTAATCGTTAATTTTCGTTCATTTAATGATTATAATTTATTAAATTATATTAATTAATTATTAATTTTAAATAAATAATAATTGTTAGATGACCGAAAATCAACGGCTAAGATTGAGAGTAAGACTATAAGTATTACACTAGAGTCAAAAAAAAAAGTCTCTCCCTAAGTAAAGTGAGTGCTCGCTCGTCCATTCTAGCTTTGTGTTCTACAACAAAATTTAGGTGGAGATAGATGAACCGTTGCCTAAAAAATATGAAAATTCAAACAAATAAAAAAATTGACTTACTAGCACAATAGAGTTATAAGTCATTTTATTGAAGAATAATTCAAAGAAACTAACTTTATTGGCATTTTTGGTACTAAACTGTGCTTACTATTTTTAAAAATGGTATTGCATGGACTTATCATTAATTCCAAGTTTTTACTATGTTAAACTATAAATCTTGAGCTTTCCAATGACATATTGTAAGCCTCAATTGGATTAGTATGACTCAAGATACGTATGTCGTAAGTCAACTTCTTTAAACCAGACTTTCGAAAATAGGGCAGAAAATTTAAAACTAAATTGGAATTGATTCAATTATCCAATGACCCAAAGATTTTTTTTATTGTGGTAGGCCTTTGTGTTAGCTTCACATAGGTTCAAATTACACTCAATTTGGGATTCTCTAGCTCAAGATATTTCAATTTTACTACACTTGGTTTGTTGATGCCCAAATATTCGGATATACGTCGAGAAGATATCCGAATATTGATCATGAAATATGCGGATATTTCATGACAGTGGCCAAAAATAGCATTCTAAGCTTAGGGTTACCCTTTGACCATACAAACCCCCAAATTGAACCTAATTGATAATTATGACAATACATACTTGTGTACATCCATTTAATCCTTAAATCAATACTCACAATTTGTTCATGAAATCAAAAGTGGCTAACATGCTAATTTAAACATTTCACCATCATCTATACTCTTCCTTTAAACTTCCTCAAGGCAACATATATCAAGTTCATCATACCACCACTAAAACATAAAACTCTCTTTCAAAACATAACCCTAAATGCATCAATGTTCATGAAACTACAAATAGGTTAGTGAGTTTTACCTTAGAGCTTCAAAGAATAATGAATGAGAGTGGATTCTAAATTTTAATTCCTTAATCAAAATGGAGTCTATGTAAGAGGAGTTTTTCTCTCAATCAAAGCTTATTGGTGAAAATGATGAGTGGGCTTTGGTGTTTATGAGAGGTGAAGTGGAAGAGATGAAGTTGTTGTACCTCTTTATGGAGGCTTGATCGATCAACAAGAAGAAGGAAGAAAAAATGAGCTACTCGGCCAAGAGAGGAAATGAGTCACGATGGGTGAGGGAAGGAGAGAGAGTGTTGTGTTAGTATTTTGACCATGTAAAATAGGCTATTTGACCATTTTGCCCCTCATTAATTAATTAATAACTATTTTGCCCCTGATTCGAAACTATCTACCAATCTGCCCCTCTTTAATCGACTACTTTGCATTTTTAATCGACTAAATGGTTGTTGGGAGATTTAATCGACTAAATCTCCCTACTTAATCGATTAAAATCATACTGACTTATTTTCCTTTGTTGTCAAATATGGAGATTTAGTCGACTAAATAGGGAGATTTAGTCGACTAAATCTCCCAACAGCCATTTTTTGTCTGTTTTGGTCATTTAGTCGATTAAAAATGCAAGGTAGTCGATTAAAGAGGGGCAGATTGATAGATAGTTTCGAATCAGGGACAAAATAGTTATTAATTAATTAATAAGGGGCAAAAGGGTGAAAAACCCATGTAAAATATCTACTATGGTTAAAGGCTTATTTACCCACATTAATTCAGACACTCCCAACTATTAACTTAGGATATTTAATTTATAATTTTGGGCTCTTAAAATTTATGAAGTACATCCACTAATTTATTTTTTAAGATTAGGGTAATTTTGTCTACTTACATTTTTACCCCAAAATTTTCACTATTCACACTTTTTCCCAAAAGTGATTTGATTTTAAGTAATTAGATTTCTTATTTAATTAACCTCTCTTAATTAAAATTAAATTCTTAATCCATTTTCAAATTCATAATTCACAGGTTAGGGTTATTATAGTGGTGATGGTTGGGGTTGACAATGGCTCGACTGGTGATGGTGGTTGGTACGTTAGTTGCGGGTAAGGGGTACTTGGTGGAAGTGGTGGTGGTGGCTGCGTCGACGGTGACCGAAGGCAACTATGGTGGTGGTTGGTGCCTTGTAGATAAGGGTAATAATGGCCCAAGGTGATGGCATGAGGGGTGATCGGTGGAATTGGTGGCAGTGGTGATTGATGCTTGGTGGTTGGGAGTGATGGTAGCCAATGACAATGGTGGTGGCTGGCAGCTCATTGTGATAGCCAGTGGCGACAATGGATGGTAAAGGTGGTCAATGGCCAGCAGTGAAGGCTGGTTGGTGGCAAGGGCTGACCCTCACCCGTAGAAGAAGAGTATATGACTATATTTGAGATGAGAGAGATATGTCATTTTATATCATATCTATTCCATTTCAAACTCGAGTCTCCTCTTAGGATAGCATGATGTGGACATGATAACATGAGCCAACATGATAAACTCATCATATCCACTTGATTCACCAAATAATGGATAAGTATATGGTATTGTTGAGACTTCAGCAAGTGTACCGGTCGTACAAATAATATAGTGTAAAAGAATGGAGTTGTCGTTCCTACGAGGATTGATTTATCAAGAAATAACTTATTTATATAACCAAAGTTGGATGGATCTTGGAAGTTTTTGAGAATATGATGTTGGTTAAATAAAAACAGAAATTTAAAAACAATACTTTTATTTTCAAGACTGATTGTCAAGAAAACAAAATTGTAAACACAACCGGTTTAAAATCAATATGCAAAAAGCGTAGCTAGGGATTCAATTTTCCCAATGTTTTCCTAACAAGTTTATCCTTTCATGAAATCAATATTCAAGATTAAGTTATCGACAATTCTTTCTAAGATGAATAAACCCCTCAATCCCTCAGTGATTTAATCTTTTACTTTATTCAAAATCCTCCAATTCCTTAGAAGTTTATCCTAGAGTAAGCATTAAAGCAAGAACCAATAAGTCATAGAATATGTAAGCCTATGTCTAGATCACACAAACCCTAGCAATTAATTAATTGGAATCAAGATACCAATATCCATATTGACATACAAGACTCTATGTGTTTATCAATGAGTTCACAAGTTATAAACAAAACTAATCATCGGTGAACAGATTAATTGCATAACTCAAATCATAAATCTTATATTATAAAGGAATTCCATTATGTGGAAACCTTACTGACGTGTCGCACTGTGGTTCAATTTCACCTATGTGTTCACACTACAACATTTAAAAAAGTTTCCTTTAATGGTAAATCGGTGAATATAATAAATACAAAAAAGAATTATATTTTCAATTGACAGGATTTGTTACTTTAAATCAATGTCAAGATTGCTTATTCATTGATTTATAACTACTAAATCACTCTTTGTCGTCATCTTTATTTTTTAAATAATTGATGTTGATCATGTAATCTAATCGTTTTTTAA